TCTTCTAAAACTTCAACAATTTTATTATAAATTTGTTGACTACTATGATCACATCCATTAATCTAAATCTCAATAAAGATTTATTTAATTTACATTCGTTATCAAAATAATGACTAGTCACTCAAATATAATTTTGTTTAGATCTACCACTTCAAATATCGGCAGTTAGAGCCACACTAACATGACAACTATGTATTTTATTTTTTAATTCTAATTTCATTTTCCCAAACAATTTTATTAAATCATTTCTAGTTGTAGTTTTAGAATAACTTTTAAATCCTAGAAAAAATGAATTTTTAATAAATCTTTCAAAATATTCATCTTCAGCCATATTAATAGGTTGATCAGTTGCATCAATATATAAAGCTAATAGTTTCCTATATACATTAGAATTATAACGCCAAGTAGTACCCATATTAGTTATTTGAGTTTGATTGGTTTATGTATTTTCATGTTGAGTAATATGTTTATTAGCATGTCTTTTTAAAGTACTAGTACCATTACCTGCATCAGCTTTATAAATATTTCCACAATACTTGCATCTTGCTTTCTTCATGTGAACTCCATTTTCTGTCTCGTAAAACTTATCAAAATGCACACAAACGTCTTATGTGTGCCTATCATCAGTTTCTACTGCAGTTGATGAACCCGCTTCTACTTGAGATGGAGTTGGACGAGGATGACGATTACGAGGACGACTTCTAGAACCACTGGGAGCTGTAGCAGCATGGGGAGGAAGGGAGAGAATATTATGAGGTGTATTGGATTCTGAGAATAGGAAGGCGGGACTATTTGAATCTATTGCATTTACGTTAGTAAATTTAGGGGGACTAGGATAATTTCCTTCATCATCGAAATTGACGGGATGGAAATATCTATCAATTGTTGTTTAAAAAAAAAAAAAATTGGATATAGAAGAAATAAAAAAAAATAAAGAAGGAGAATTGAAATTTGGAAATATGAATTGAAAATTGCAAAAACTAATAAAAATTAAAATGAGAGCAAATTGACAACAAAGAGAATAATTTAGAGATTTCAATAAAGAAAATGAGAGAATTTGGGATGTGAGAAAATATGAGAGTTTAGGCCCTATTTATAGAAAAAAATGGGAAAAGAAAATGACCAAAAAGACCTCTCTAATTGCTATAAAACGGCTATATTTCAAGGGTAAAAGGGGTATTTGCAAAAAAAAATATTTATTTTTTTTGTCCAACCTGCTAGATGGGGTATACACGGGCCGAGTTGAACCCGACCCGTCTCTTAGGCAGTCCGGGTTGAACCCGGCTTGATGCGGACTGAGTTAGGGTTGACCCGCCTAACCCGACCCATTTGTTCCACCTCTAGTGATGGCGTGTCAAAATGTATAGCTAATTTGTATACAGTAGAGTTTAAAAACGTAGGCAATAAATATTGCTTTTTGGCTTAAATCTTTTGGATAAGAACTTTTATTTGAGCTTTCAATTACTTGTTCTACTGATTCAATAATTAAAATTTAAAATAAAAAACTCATATTTAATTAGTGTTCTAACTCGTCAATATTACATACCTTTTGGACAAAGGTGAATACTTGGTTACTATTCTAAGTAATGAAAATCAATTTAAAATTTTTCAGAAAAATATTTTATATCCTAAGTTTATTTCTTAGATTAATTGATTATGCGTTTTGGAAGATGCAGATTGAAGATCATCTGTATGGCAGAAAATTACATTACCTCTCTTAGGAGCAAAACCTGAAAAGATGTCAAATGAAGATTGGAGACTCCTCGATAGACAAGTATTAGGAGTCATTCAATTGACATTGACCAAGAACGTGGCAAATAACATGACAAAGGAGACAACCACAACAGGGTTGATGAAGATCTTGTCTAATATGTATGAGAAGCCTTCTACAAATAACAAGGTACATCTTATGAAAAAATTATTTAATCTTAAGATGAAAGAAGGGGCTTCTGTGACAGAGCATATGAATGATTTTAGTACAATTATTAATCAACTGTCATCTATAAAAATTGATTTTGATGAAGAAGTTTGTGCCCTAATTCTTATGGCCTCCCTACCAAATAGTTGGGAGCCTATAAGAGCAGCAATTAGTAATTCAACAAGTAGTGCAAAGTTAAAACTCACAGATGTCAGAGTCAAAATTCTCGCTGAGGAGGTTCGCAGGAAAGATTCGGGTGTGATAACATTGAATGTTGAAACAAGAGGCATAGGCTATGATAAAAAATCAAACTGAGGTAGAGGAACATCAAAATCAAGGAACGGAAGAAGCAAGTCTGGGTTTGGAAAAAAAATAGAGTGTTGGAATTGTAGCAATAAAGGTCACATACAGAGGAATTGCAAAGCACCAAAGAAAGAAGAGAACAATAATAACGACGACGCCAATGCCATAACTGAGGAGGTACGAGACGCTTTACTTTTATCTGTTGATAGTTCTATTGACTCTTGGATTTTAGATTCAGGAGCTTCATTCCATACCACTGCACACCATGAAATTCTAGAAAATTATGTGGTTGGAAATCATGGAAAGGCATACCTAGCATATGGAAAACCTTTGGATATTATAGGTATGGATGATATTAGGTTGAAATGGCAAACGGATTTGTGTGGAAAATACAGAAAGTAAGGCATGTACCAAAATTGATGTACAATCTAATATCAGTTAGGCAACTTGACGATGAAGGGCATAGTGTGTCCTTTCTAGGTGGTGCATGGAAAGTTACTAAAGGAGCTATGGTGGTTGCTGGTGAAAATAAAATTAGAACTCTTTACATGACTTCAAGTTGCAAATATTCAGTCACAGTCGCAAATTCTAGTGTTACCTTGAGTTTATGGCATTGTAGACTTAGGCATATAAGCGTGAAAGGAATGAAGGAACTTCAATCAAAGGGAAAACTACCAAAGTTGAAGTCGATTTATCACAATTTGTGTGAAGGTTGCATTTTTGGCAAACAGAGAAGAGTAAGTTTTTCCAAAGTGGCAAGGGAACTAAAGGCAAAGAAGTTGGAGTTGGTTCATACAGACGTGTGGGGACCCACTCCTGTGTCATCCCTTGGAGGCTCAAAGTACTATGTGACGTTAATTGATGATGCAAGCAGAAAGGTATGGGTTTATTTTTTAAAAAATAAATCTGATGTTTTTGATACTTTTAAAAAGTGGAAAGCCATGGTTGAAAATGAGACAAACCTAAAATGAAGTGCTTGCGATCCGATAATGGGGGAGAGTACATTGATCAAGGGTTTAAAGAATATTGTGCCAATAATAGGATCAAGATGGAGAAAACTATTCTTGCAGCTCCTCAACAGAATGGTGTCGCTGAAAGGATGAACAAAACCTTAAATGAGCGTGCAAGAAGCATGAGATTGCATGCTAGACTACCTCAAACATTTTGGTTTGAGGCAATTACTACTACAACCTACTTGCTCAATAGAGAACCCTCTATACCGCTAAATTGCAAGATCCCAGAAGAAGTTTAGAGCGGCTAAGAGGTAAATTATTATTTTTTAAGAGTGTTTGGTTGTTTAGCATATATTCACATTGACTTTACTCTTAGAAGTAAGCTTGATGCTAAATCTAACAAATGTTTTTTCATTGGTTATGGTGACGCCGAGTTTGGTTATCATTTATGGGATGACCAAAACCGTAAGATTATAAGGAGCAAAGATGTCATATTCAATGAAGAAGTGATGTACAAGGATAGACTCAACATGAAGTTAGAAAATCCAAACACTGGAGTGAGGAAGCAAGAGGTAGTTCCTTTGAAAGACTTCCCAAGGAATGACATGCAAGACAATGATCAGGAAGATCAAGATAATATAGCTCCAGAATTTGAACCACAAACGCCCGTGTTTGGACCTAGAAAATCTTCCAAGACTATAAGACCATCATAGAGTTACTCCCGTTTGTTGAATTATATTTTACTAACTGATAGTAGTGAACCAGAGTGTTACGAGGAAGCAATGCAAGTTGATGACTTAATCAAGTGGGAGCTAGCTATGAAGGATGAGATGGATTCATTATTAACAAATCAAACCTAATAGTTGACAGAGCTACCACAAGGGAAGAAGGCATTGCAAAACAAATGGGTTTATTGGGTGAAAGATAAACATGATGGCAGCAAACAATATAAAGCAAGACTGGTCATGAAAGGATTTCAGCAGAAAGAAGACATTGACTACACTGAAATATTCTCTCCAGTTGTCAAGTTGAATACAATAAGAACAGTACTTGGGTTAGTGGCAAAAGAAGACCTTTATCTTGACTAGTCAGATGTAAAGATAGCGTTTCTTCATGGAGAACTCAATGAAGAAATTTATATGCAGTAGCCACATGGTTTTAAAGTACAAGGAAAGGAGAGAATGATGTGCAAACTTCAAAGGAGCCTATGTGGGCTAAAGCATATGCCTAGACAGTTGTACAAGAGGTTTGATGGATTCATGTGTAGTAACGGTTTCCTCATATGCCAAGAAGACCATTGTTGTTATTTCAAGAAACTTGGTAACTCCTATATCATCCTATTACTATATGTAGATGACATGTTGATTGCAGGGGCTTGTAAATAGGAAATAGACAAGCTGAAAATGCAATTGTCAAAGGAGTTTGCTATGAAGGATTTAGGAGCTGCAAAACAAATCCTTGGTATGATGATTACCAGAGATAGAGCCAAATGTTTCTTGAAGCTATCCCAAGAAGAATATGTGAAGAAAGTACTCAATAGGTTCAACATAGATGGAGCAAAGCTAGTAAGTACCCCTTTGGTTAATCATTTTAAACTATCTAAATATCTGTCACCTAAAACAGAGCATGAGCGAGACTATATGGCTAAGGCACCCTATGCATCAGCGATTGATAGTCTTATGTATGCCATGGTGTGTACAAGGCCAGACATAGCACATGTAGTGGGAGTTGTGAGTAGGTACATGAGCAATCAAGGAAAGCAACATTGGGAAGCAGTAAAGTGGATTATCAGATATTTGAAAGGTACTACAAATTCAGCATTATGATTTAGGAAGTCAGACTTAGAGCTACAAGGTTATGTGGATACTAATATTGTTATAGTAGATGCCCTAGAACCAATCAATTATTGTAAAATTGACTCTGTAATAAATATTTATTTATCAATAAAAAGCATATTCTTCTATATCGTGTATGTAATGATATATGTCTTTAGGATGGTAGAGTTGTGACGAGGGTATCAAGTGTTTCAAATCTTGATAGTGAGAACCCTATGATCACATATGGTGGCCATTCTAGAAACGTCGTAGCCCCAATATTATTTTGACCAAGGACACAGATAATATGATCAGGTTATCAGAGTGTTGAACGACCATGTCTAAAGGCAGTAACTGATCTCACTTGTCAATGTTGTTTGTCGACAATCTGGTGCAACGCATGGGTGTTTGCTAGAGGCAAGCTCACTGGACAGACCCACCAGAGGATTCCATATGGATGGTAACCCTAGTGTCTATGGAATAAATCCTCTAACGGATGGTGATGCATGTGATCCTTAGACTTGAGATCACCGGAGCGCCTTATGCACCAATTAGTGTAGTTTGACACTAGCCCAACGTAGTTCTATTCAGAGCTATCAATACGGTAGTGATTGGCTACATTGAGAAGTGTATCGAGACTATGGTGGATCGACAAAGGATTCATCACTCTTGGGTACGGGTGAAGTTATCTCACTGGGTAATTCAGTATATGGCAATGACACTAAATCTATGGCCACAGTGGGATTGGGTTTATGCTCAATCCAATTTAATATTCCTGTCATTGGTCCAGTAACTGAATACAAACATGTCGAAGATATCTGAGGTTGACACTATTTCTGTACCTCAGTCTCGATAAGATAACAGTTGATGAAATGATTTGATTGCACGGTAACCAAACCGTTGACAGGTTGTGATTTCGCTGAATCCAAATCTATCGGGTGGCCATGATGCCTTGCTAGGGGCCAATCTTGGTCTGTGTGTAGTGAGATGATTAATTGGTGTTAATCGCGATACTACACACTGTCGATATGATGAGGAGCCTACGGGTCACACACTTAGAAAATAATTTAAGAATCAATTTGTGAGAAGGGTATTTTCGTCTTTTAGGATGAAAGGGTATTTTGATAATTTTACAGTACAATTAAATTTGCTAGGGTTGTTGCCTATATTTAATTTTAATATTAAAATTAAATTAGTGAGATTATATTTAAATATATCTCTGTATATATTTAAATGAATTATTATTATTAATTAAATATTAATTTATTATTAAATATTAATTGATTTTAATTATAATAATAATTAATTAATTAAAATACCATAAAGGGTGGTCTGGTTGCAAGGGTAAACTACGGTTGGAGCCCATGGCTATTCCTAAGTGGAATAAGGTTTTAATTGTTGCACTATATAAGTGCAACTTAAAATTAAAACATGAAAGAATTATTCATTCAATTAAAACCTTAGCCACCCTATCTCTCTCTCTCTTAAGAAGAAAACTTTTTCTTGTTCTTCTTTCTTGATTCTTGAAGCCCTTGATTGTTCTAGCGAAATAATCAAGGGTTCGGTGGATTATCTTCGTGTGGACTTCTGTGAGTGCGATCCTACTTTGGATCGATTGACGAAAAATCACGTGAACAGTAGACGATGAATAATAGACGTGAATAGCATACGTAAATAGTAATCATGAACAGTAACAATGAACAGTAACCGTGAACAGTAGTCGTGTTCAAAATCAGAGATATTTGAAGGAGCCTCCAAACGTACGTAGGTATTCTAATCCTTGAATGGATTTACTTTAAATAGATTTTATTTATAAAGATGTAAACTGTCTAATCTATACTCGGATCTTGATCAAGAAAGGTAATTGATTTACCGATTGAATTTTTGTTTTCCACTGTGTATGGTAGATCAATTACTTACAGTCGTATCAGATCCTTGGGTATTAGATTATATTGTTTAATTGATGTTTGATAACATGTTATTGCATGATTTGAAGTATTTTTTTTTTTTTAAATCTGGAAAAATTATGTATGTTGAATGTCTTAATTAATCAATCGATTAAATAATGTGTTGATTGAATGTGTATTGGTTGGTTGGTGTCCTGGTTGAATGTTTAAGCATTCGATTTGATTTAGATTTGTGTCATTATGGGAAAAATTGCAAAAGACGTTACTATACCTAATTCACTGTTTTGCAATGTTAGCCACGGCGAAATAATACTTTGCCACGGCGAGATGCAAAAAGTGAATCTGGTCGCGGTGAAATAAACCTTCGCCGCGGTGAAATTCGGAAAAGTAGATCTAGCCGCAACATAAAACTCTTTGGAACGATTTGTGTTTTCTGGAAGTTCACGGTCGTCGCGGCAAAATAAAACTTCGCCGTAGCGACCATGTGTGCATGAACTTTGCCGAGGCAAAGAATTTTTTTGCCGCGACAAGAAACTTACTGTTCTGTTTTTGCTTTCTGTTTTTCGCATAGGGACTAAATTGTAGTTTTTGAACCTTTAAAGCCAATATTCATTCTACACGTTTAAGGTGGTAACTTGATAATTCAACCCACCCAGTTCAAAAATTGATTGTTTTTTAATGTATGCAATGTTCTTGTTTGATAATTGCATGGTGCCCGGTACATGAGCCTTAGACATATTGTTTATTGTTTATTGTTTATTGGGTTTGTTTGTATTTTTTTATAAACAAATAGGGCCTGCGTGTCCTGCCCCTCTCTCTTAAATCTTTATGTATTTCTTCTCCTCATCTCACTCCCTTGTATGTAACGTGAAGTTTCTATTTTATTGACGTAAATTAGAATAGGTTTTTTATTATAAAATTATTTGTAATGATCATGAAGAAGAAACGAATGAGCTATGAAGAGGAATAACTTGAAGATCCAAGATTTATTTTTAAACCCTAGGTTGACCCACCTTCTCTAGGCTTGATGAAATTGGTTTTAGTAGGCCATGTACCGGCACGTTTATTTTTTTGTTTATAATTCATGATAAAGTTAATGTTAATAACAGGCCAAACAATGTCATTCTAACAAAGATAATAATCTGGTGAGACTTAAATAAAAACCCTCAAATAAGATATTAAGTTACTATGTCTTCTATCACCATGATTTTAATCAAACCACTGTTCGTCGGAACCTTATTCACCACAGCGAAGGGTACACTTCTACCGGTAGGAGGTTAAAATCATTGGATTTTTTTCCTTAATGAGATGGGTCGACTTAAAATGACAGTTTTGCTTGTTCGTCACAGTCAAGGTTTATAAACACATCATAGGCATAGTAAGAATACACTGTTGAGTGTACGTGGTGACATGTAATGTCCACTCTACTGATACTAGGAATCACACTTGAGGACGATGGCTAGCCGTTGGATTGTGTGATTGGCTTGTTGGCTTACTTCACATTTGAGTTGATAGTGGGAGCTATCAACTAGTGGGATTAAGTTTGTTGGCCTACCTAATCAACTCATTTTGGCTTGTTCGCCACAACGAAGGTTTGAAATGGACCAGATGGGATCTCAGTCCACTAAAAAGCCAACAGGTTATCACGAGTTAATAGTGAGGGCTATGCTTGAGGAAAATAGTGGGAGTGTTTTTTAAAGACCATATTAAGAAATATAACATTATATTGACTTACTTTTCTGAATTGTAGATTCACTTAAAATGAGCATTATGAACCTGCGACCGATAATCGAGAAAGAAACAGGTTGGATGGATCCAATTTCTCATGGTATCGTAATCTTCGGATTATTAATCCCAAAAAGAAATTGTATATCCTTGATAAGTCATCCAGGGCTGAGCCTGATCTTGTCCCACTCAGGAAGTAAGGATACTTACAAAAGTTTCTTGATGATTTTAATGGCGTTCAATGCTTGATGTTAGCATCAATGACACCAGTGCTACAAAAGCAGCATGGGAATATAGACGTTGTTGCCATTATTCTACACCTCAAGGACTTATGAAGGGAATGCTCGACATGAGAGGTACAAGGTGTCAAAAGCACTATTTGGAAGTCGCTTGACCGAGGGAGCCCAAGTTGGCCCTCATTTGCTCAAAATGATCAAGCACATGAGAGGCTTGAGACTTTGGGGTTTGAGTTGGATACAGAATTACAGTGGATCTAATTCTACAATCCTTGTCTGACTCTATATGCACGGTTCATAATAAACTTCAATATGAACCTATGTGAAAACCCTGTCGGAGCTTTTGAACATGCTAAGGACTGTAAAGCAAGACTTGAAGAAGTCCAAGCTTATTTTACTAGTAGCTACCAGTAAAGGAAGGGTAAGGGCAAGGCCAATCCTAGCCCAAGCCTAAAGAACAGATGCTCTCAAGCCTGTGGGTGGCATTGGGAAAGGTGGAAGGTAGTCTACTTCTATTGTGGCAACGCTTGGCCACTGGAGGAGCACTGCAAGCTTTCCTCGCAAACAAGAAGAAGTCAGATGCTTCGACTTCAAATATGTTTATGATTGAGATTAACTTCTCTCCTTCACATCTTGGGTCATTGACACATGATGTGGTACTCTCTTTGTACTGATGTGCAGGGACTAATGTAAGTAGATTGCTCATCAAGGGAGAAGTGGACCTACGAGTTGGAAATGGAGCACATGTGGCTCCATTAGCTGTAGGGACTTATTGTTTGTCTTTGCCTTCGGACTTATTATTAGAACTCAAAGACTGTTATTTTGTACCGCGATTTCTAGAAACTTTATTTCATGTATCCGCTTTGGATAATATAGGATATTGTTTTGAGATTTCTAATGTTGTTGCCTTTAGTTTGAATAATATTCTATTTGGAATTGCAAGGTTATATAACAGATTATATGTCTTGATTTGAACAATAAGATATTCTCAACGTTGAAACTAGAAAGATAAACATAGCGAACAAAACCATACATACCTCGGGCATTGTAGATTGGGTCATGTTAATCAGGCCCGCATTGCAAAACTTCAAAGGATGGAGTTTTGGACCCTTTTGACTTCCAATCATTTGAGGTATGTGAGTCT